TAAAACCGAGAAGTATTGCGATGCCCAGAGATTGGCGAATGATCATCACCGCTTGAAGCGAGTCTGCCCTGCCTGGCAAAATTAACCACCTCCATCGAGTCCATCCACCTCGTGCCCGCTCTGATCCTCAACCTTCCCGTCCTTCAATGGTCCAATTCCTCCGCCCCCTTGACTCTTTCAGACAAGGCAATAGAATAGTTCGCCTTCATACGCAGCATCGATCCGGCTTTCCGTAGTCGACAGTCGTAGTCATCCTGGACGTCAGATGTTTCCAGAATTGCTGACTGCTGACTTGAACCATGAGACGAGGATTAAAAAGAGTCATTGTAGCCCCTCTTCCTTCTCATGGAAAAAAGTGATGCTTCATCAAGAATTATCAATCTTATTACAGTGACATGCTCACACAGAACCAGATATAAGAGGCCATCTAAGGAATTCTTTTTTTTTTCCCTGGTTCTGGGTCAGTGCAGGCTTATTAAAGCACGCCATCAATAACTAGGTATTAATATTATTAGTGAACCTGTCCCGCTGCAAGCTTCACATCGGAGGCCGATCGCCGCAAAATCTTTGGTGGGGAACACCATCAACTCAACCAACCCAGTCAGACACTGTATGAAATTCTGTCCTCATCACCATCAGACCGTCATTATTATTATCATTGTCATCAATCCCTGCTCTCGCTCTTCAGTGGCTCTTATATCATCGCCTCGACTGTCTCCATTGGTCTCCAGGTGTTCTGGAGATACTCCTCCGCTCTATCCTCAAACGCTCTTCGCGCTTCACTCGCACCTGTGGGAAGAGTCAAGTCTTCCCGCTTCATCGACTGCGACCCAACAATCTTTGACGAATAGAAAGTCACATCCCCCTTGAGTTACTGTTAACTCGAGAGGCCATCGACGTTTCCCTTCCTCGACTTCGGTTTCGTATATCCCCTGTATGGACTGCGGGACTGCTGGCGCAGCTGCGGGCATTGACCCCAAAATACTCGACAATTGGCAATCCGATACCGCTTTTTCGATCGCATCGTGGGAACACGCCGGCTACGACCAGCAACTTGAGTGGGATACCAGTCAAGATTCGAATCAGGATGAAGCAGACATCGTGGATCTAGGTATTCTACATGGTTCGCTGGCCAACGATCAGCCCAGCGCGTCCCTCTTTAGGCATAATTCCGACCCTAGGTTCGCGCGGAGTCTCCTCCCCAGTCTGCGATGGTTGCAACAGTAGTAGCTGACAGATCTTTGATGTGCGTGCAGCAACCCAGGACTCACCTCACCCGAGAAGTTCAGCGTCGCGGATGCCGCGATCGAAGGCACCATCAGTGGGACCGTGAGCCCCAGAACCTTGCCCTCCTCGACTGACGATAACTTTCACCTCGATGACACATGGCCGCAATTCCAGCTCATCAACTCCATGGCCGCTGGAATGCCGATGGACGCGCCTCTGCTCTATCCGTACTCTAAAGACCCGACCTCTAACAACACAGTTATCGTCGAAGATGGGGGAGAGCTGTCCCACGGACAAGGATTTTCAGAGGTTCACCCGGAGCAGTACCTGACCTTCCAGAATCTGTCTCAAGCGTTCCAATTCGCCGCTGATCCCTGGGCCGAGCCGCCTGCCGATCTCAATTCGGATACGTCGGCTCAAGCACCTATCCCCGTTCCTCAGATGGGACCACAGGTACCGACCAGAATTATCAATCAGTCTCGCAGCTTCCAGGGCTCTTTGCGCTCACTCGAATCGCGCTGGCTTGAAGGACTTGAGTCCCAACTGCCTACGAACTTGACATCGCCTGCCTCGTTGTCGACAAACCCGCAAGACCACACCTTACCTAAAGATGACAGAAGAGTTCAGGATGCATTCCAGTACAAGTCAGAGAGCTCTTCCGTTTCTGGTGATCTTTCAGGAGTTTACGACTGCTCCTACTCAGGCTTGAGTGATGATGTGCCGGCGTTTGCAGAGCGACAGCTGGAAGACGAAGGTTCCTGGAAGGATGAGCAGAAGGAGGAGTCTCCCTCTGAGACCTCGCAGCCACACCAGAGTGCCACTGCATTCGTGGTCAGCGAAGACCCCCAGGGGTCTTTTTTCATGACTGCTCCTACCAGATCGAGGGGTTCGTCGACCGTTGCGCAGCGAGCATCTGGCCGGCCTCAGGCACTCGCTTTGCAATCGGTGGCTACCGTCAGGAAGCGCAAGCAGCGTACCTCGAACGTCAGCCTTGACCAGAATCTGCCAAAACCACTGCAGATCGTCCAAGAGGACGGCCAAGGCGGTTCCATTGCCTCCGCAGATTTTGTGTCTCCGCCTCGTGGAGCACGCCGCAAGGGGCCTTTGACCATGGTTGGGAGGGCCAACGCTGGATTGCGGAGGAAGAACAAGGATACGTGTGTTCAGTGCCGTTTGAATAAGCGGAAGGTTTGTTTTACCTCTCTCGGGCTTGTTTTGGTCTCGAATAACAGAAAGCTGATGATTGTAGTGCGATGGAAGCTCTCCATGCGACGCTTGTCGCCCTACATTACACGAACAGCCGTGTGCCCGGGCTTGTTTTGCGAACATTGTCGAATATGGAACATGCAATTATATCTGTACGAACTCGACCCTTTTATCGTACCGAACATTTTTGACTAACAACAAGTAGCTCAACGAGCCGTCAATCACCCGACCGTGGATCGATCTGGCCGGGTCCGGATGGAAATTCCATCCCGATTCGACTTGAATGACCTGTTGAAGTTCCTGAGCGAGCGGCAAGGACGATTCAACATCCGTGCAAGCCAAGCATGGGGATCACTGTACGTTTTGGACTTGGGAGAGACGTACAAGTTCTTGAAATCATTGAGCGAGTACAACGGTAACTCGCGATCCACCTTTCTCGAGTTCATCGACCGTCGGATTGTGGAGTCGAAAGACAAGTCCAAGAATTGGCTGAGCTGTGTCAAAGACTGCGATCCAATGAACAATATTTACGTAAGTGCGAAGCGATTTTTATCTTTATATCCTCGACTGACTTCTTTTCTAGTCTCTACTCTCACAGTGGAACAACATGCCTAGTCGTGCCAGTTACAGCTTCGTTCCCCTGCAAGCTGGAGGCCAAGAAAGACCCATGGACATCCACAACCCCGAAGATCAACGCGAGATTCTGCTAGCGGCGCAGCTGTCGCGGATTTTCTGCCGCATGCTAGAGGTTGAAGGGTTCCGGAAGCTTGAACGGGACTTTTACAACATCAAGTGGAAACAGATCTCTCAAGACACGCACCTGCGTTTCTTGGGTCAACTCGGACATATCCTTCTCTCTCTCCGGTGGCGAGTCTCCTGGTGGAAGCGCCTCGGGGACGGAGGCCGTGAGCCCGACCCCTCGAAACAGCATTATGTGGATCGAGTCGAGCTGCTTTGTCGAATTCTCTACGTCTACTACACCTGTGTGCTGGCGAAACTTCCTGCGTGGTCGACCGCTGATGTGCCCAAGGGCGTCTGGTCCACTTATGCTGACTCGGAAAATGCGGTGTGGGACGATTTCCCCCTAGATCCCAGCGAAGATGGATTTAAGAACTGGATGGAACGAGGCCGCGAACTCATTGAGCAAGCCGGTGTTCCGAACCGCGTCTCAAAGATCTAGGCGTCGACTCTCCCTAGAGTACTAAAAAGCAAACCCTCGCTTGGAAAAGATTGTTGATGGATTGGAACTGGAGTTTTGATACGATACCCATGCAGCGTTTTTCATTTCTGGTCTTTGCCTGTCTATGAGTGATGATTATATCATTTTTGTACATACCGCCTTCACATAAGTTCATGATATACATAGAATACTTGTGATCCTCCTATCTGTTTACCTACAGCGGAATGTAACCAAACACAGCACCAGTAGCCAGGGTATCTATGCTTCATTAATCGTATCTCTATACTGGAACAAATCACCTCCATCAATTCTTCTTCCCCTTCTCCTTCTCCTGCTTCTTATCCTTCTTCCCCCCAGCAAGCAACTCAAGATGTCCCGCCCTCTGCGCCAAACTCCTCTCCGTCTTCGCCGTCAACCCAGCCGTAAGTTTCTACTCGACGGTCAGTCCCAAACCCCCTCCAACAAGTATATCTACCTCCACAGTAACGGCGCAGGACGAACCTTCGTAATCTTCTGCTGCTTAATCAGCGTCGCCTTCTTAGGCGCGATCTGCCGCGGTCCTCGCTTGGGAGCTAGTGCCGTGGGCCTGTACATATCACATCACATCATATCCTCAGTAAGTTGCTTCCCCGTGGTCTGTGGTTGGAAGGGTTGGAGTTCACGTACCGCTTCGCCGTGCTCGGCTTGGTTTTCTTCAGGGGGCCTTGGGCCATTTTGTCTGCGAGGCGGAGTTTGGGGTGCAGGTGGACGGTGTACTGCCAGCAGCACGGTATGATCTCCTTAGGATGGATGGTGGGTTGTTTGGGATGATTGAGGGTGATGGGATGTGGTGTTGTGGTTGCATGGGTTGGAGAAAATTGCTTATCGGGGTTATCTATCACGTGATGTGTTGATAGTGGTGTTTTGATGTACCTCTCTCCGGAGTACTATGGTGGACGAATAGGTTGCGAATGCGGATATGCAGATTATGTATTTCTTGTAGATTACTACGATAGATTCTGCGGTATAGTTGTTTGGCTTGTGGCGAATGTAGGGTTGAAGAATGGTGTATGCTGATGTGCAATATCAGCGATGGAGATGATCACTTTGGGGCTCATTTAGATCTACTGACAGTCGCGGCCTGCGGCCATGATAGGAGGTGAGTATAGATGGTCTATGCGCTCGATATATTGGTTGCCATATCTCATTAGAATCCTGTATCTGACAATGTCCGCGCAGACTCGCATTACAATGGCAGGCTGAAATACAAAAGGACGAAGAGTATATTCCAGGCTATGCTGAAACACAAACGAAGTAAAAGCTCAGCTCCTCAGAGTCAAGAAATATTATGTCCACCGAAGAATTTACACGTCATGAACGGAGCTTGATCCCAAGAGGGAGTAAAAATTTAAAAGGCGAGGACGGCGAGAACACCAGCGGCAACAGCACCGAAGCTGATAGCGGTGCGGTCGGCAGCACCGGTGAAGAGGCTAGGAGCCGGGGTGGTGGCGGAGGGGGTGCTGGAGCCGTGGGCGGTGCTGACCAGAGTGGTGCTGGGGTAGGCAGAAGGAGTAGGCGAGCCAGCGGGGATGGAAGCACCGCCGGTGGGGACGACGACGGGGATCGTGGTGGGCTTGACAGTAGCAGTAGCAGTGGCAGACTCGGACTCGGGGCAGAAAGTGGTGCTCTCAGTGGTGATGACGGTGACCTCGGAGGCAGTGGGAGCAGCAGTAGCGGTCTCAGTCGCGGCGGCGGCGGTGCTCTGGCTCACAGGGGCGGAAGAAGAAGCGCTGACGGCCTTGCCGGGGTTGGAGATACCGAACTGGGTCGACCACTGGTACTGACCAGTACCCTCGACGACGAGAAGGAGACCGTAGTGGGTGACATCGTCCTCGAGCTCGGTGCTGGGAGTCCACGAGTACGAGCCCGAGTTGGGGATCGCCTCGGCGATGGTAGCGATGGGGACGACGTTGGTGCTGGGGCCTCGCAGGAGGACCAGAGAGACGGGGCCTTGAGTGGTGGGGTCCCACTCAATGGTGTAGGGCTTGCCGACAGGAACCTGCTCGTTCAGACCGGGCTTCAGGATGGCATTGCCCAGAGGAGCCTTGGTGTAGTCGGGTTGGGTGTAGGCGGAAGCCATCGCCACAAGGGCAGAGAGAGCAACAGTGATGAAACGCATTTTGAATTAATTTTCTTCTAGCTTGCGGATAATGTGAATAGGTCAGGCGAAAAGAGTGACTTGTTCGAAAATCTCGTAAGATTTGAAATGAATGACTGGGGTTAAAAGAGTGGCTGTCGTAGGTAAGGAACGACGAGAGTGTTTGCAGAGAGAAAGAGAGACAGAATCAGAGAAGAAAGAGAGAGGAACGAAGCGACCACAAGGGAGACGAGGATTCAAATTAGAATTGAAGAGCAGTAGGCTAACATCATTTCGAGCTAAGCCTGAGATTGTGTTCCCCTTGAGGGATGATGAGAGGAGGGGCCCTCGCATTCCCTCCAGCCAGTAAATAGCCTCAGCCGGTCTGCCCAGTTCAACGGGACATCATCAGGCATCATGGGCGGATCTGCGGCTCATACCACGGATGTGGGTCGAATGAGCATGTATCACAACATAGTCCATAAAAATGAGGTCGTAACTCGTAAGGGGAAACAAACTCTCGAGCTCCTGTCCTCCTCATCTGCTGTGGTGCTGAGCAACGGGTGGAATGTTGGACACTCGGCAGGAATGAACAATTGTGACCCTGGCAAATAGGGCGGGGACAAATCCTCGTATCCCCGTCTCACTGGTGCAACTAAGATGAGATGTGTTTAGTTCAATTGTTAGCTTGTGTAGGCTTGGGGGTCCTTGATCCTCAGGATAGAGTCCCCTGTTCCAGCATTTTGCCATCAACGGAATTGGTCAGCGACGTTGATGGCTATCCTTTCTTCAAGGACTCTCACAACTTCGTGCAGTTCTGAATTATGGACGGTGTTATTTTTGGACAAATATAGATAGAAGGAACAGCATGGTCACCATGAACAGTGGATGGGCTAATTAGCAGATAGAACTAAGAGTCAACGGCGCCGCACTTCTGAACTGTAATTTCGATTCATCACCGTGACCCATCCTCTCGTGGGGGATAGGGAATACTGCCAAGAAATTGATTTCAACGGTTTGTACGGATGTTGCAATGGTTCAGCTTTCATGTGTACAGATGATGAAGGAGTACGAGAGGTTGCTGTACACATCAAAAGGCTGTATGTCGAAATCATCAGGTGAATCGATGATGACGAAAAACCTGACGATTTTCAATGGAAGTGCATCCATTCTACAACCTTCAGACATTCATCAACATAATTTCGACTTCTGTGTTCGTACCTGAATCTCAATATCTCCTACTTCATCAAACCTCCGGATATTATCCGATTTGCCCCAGTACATATGGATCCAGCTCATAGCTATCGATGACTGGTTAACGACGTATGCATCTGGCTTCTAGGTGAGTCCAAAACTCCATGTTGTAGAATTGAAATGAGACATACGCCACAAGGCCGCAGGACTAACAAAAATACACTTTAGGCGACCTCAAGTGAGATTGCAGAGCTCCAAAACAATCAAAATATTACCCCTGAATTCCGGCCAATAATTTGTGGGAAAGGAGCCTCCACTCGGCCATGGTAGCATGCTACGTTGTACGGAGGATAAACAAAGGGAAGATTCCACGAGCTGCGAGCTTGCGTCCATAATGTGCCGTAATGCAGAGCTTGATATTCCAACACCGGAAGAAAGTTGGAGATGGACAATTGATTTGATAACATTTGATTCCGGCCGATCCAACAAGGGATGATCATTTCGATGAAGTCATCCCATGTTCGTCCCTGAACGACGATTGTCAGGGTTCCCGGTCGCTCCTTTCTTGTTCCTGACATGGCCGGTGGAGTCCAGCACCACTAGAAACCGCGCACAATGAGCACTGCCGCACCAGCCATTATTGGCCCATTACAGTCAACCTTGTTCAAGATAAGACAAGGCTCAATGGGACGCTCGCAACTCTCGTCTTTCCCGTAAGTGATGAACCTTCCCCTTGCGACTGTACCACATAGATAGCCACGTCGTCTCGCAGTCACGCTGGCCATGTGTCTTGCAAAAAGCAAACAATTTCCAATTGGCGCCGGATACTAGATAGCGCAGGATGTCACCGTGGCTCTGATTTTATTCCAGTCTGGCCAACAGGCAACAGCCTCAGAATAGATACGTAGATACGTGCTTCATTGGCCCAATCATAGGGGTGGAGATAGCCGACGGGGCCTGAACTACGGGGCATACACCGAGCACTGCAGACTGCAGAGTGCATCTCACCTGCTTGAAAATGATGCGTCTAAAAAGTAATACACAAAACGTTAAATATATGGGAATCTGCCAATCGTGTCTTGTGCCTTCAAAAGGCTTACACTGTCCAACCCACAATTCCATTGATAGAGCGCTGCTATGAATAGGGCTTTCTAGAGCGCCAGATTCTATTCCTCATGACGACTAAGAGGAAGTTGTCCTATTTGAAGAGACGTGTCAGGAATCGGGATGATCCAGCTCTGTCTGGATCCTCTAAATAGAGGGAATCAAAGTATGCTCTATTATCGCGGACTGCGCGAGGTCGAATCTAGAACGTGGGAGTTACTAAAGCATATACAGAGCTTGCTCGCAAGGAGATTGTCTCATGATTATCCATGATAGTGGGAATACCTCGGGGTTCACGCCCTACATGACCGAAATGACAAGAATCAATCATTCCACCCAGGTGACTGTCTTCGTCTGCAACCACTCGTCATAGGCCGCAGTACCGCCTCCGAAGCGACCGAACCCACTGCTCTTCCATCCGCCATGGGGTAAGGTGGGCTCGTCATGGATAGTCAAAGAGTTGATATGAACGGCACTAAATGATGCCAGCGAACATCAGTAACTGTACTGTGTTTTTGCAAACTGATACTTGAAGGAAAGGTGACTTACCCAGCCTCGATTTGCTTTGCTACCCTAAGACCTCGGAACAAGTTGTCAGTGAAGACTGCGGATGTAAGGCCATATTCTGTATCATTGGCCAGCGCAATAGCGTCGTCCTCAGTATCCACCACAATGAGAGATACTGTCGGACCGAATGATTCTGTGGAGTAGAGATCCATATCCTTGGTGACGTTGTCCACAATCACGGGCCGTAGGCTGTGATCAGATGACTCCGTGGCGTTTGCATCGCCGAAGAGGACGCTGGCGCCCTTGGAGAGCGCATCAGCTACGAGCGTCTTGTTCTTCTTGACAGCTGCCGAGGCTACTAGCACCGGTGCTGGTGCAGCTTTTCCGAAGAGCTTCTCAGAATTCTCAGCCAGAAGCTGACGGAATTTGTCTGCGATCGCGCGCTGTACGACAATGCGCTCCGTGGACATGCAGATCTGACCGGACTGGTTCTGAAGTCAGCCTTCTGAACACATCCCAGGGTGTCTGCGAACCAATACTCACATGCATGAAAGATCCAAGAGCGCAGCAGAACGCAGCCTTCTCCAGGTTCGCATCGTCCAGAACAATAGCCGACGCCTTGCCTCCCAACTCGAGGAGAACCGGCTTGGTATACTTTCCAGCGGTCGCAGCGATGATGGAACCAATTTGAGTGCTTCCGGTGAAGTTGATCTTGCGCACAGCAGGATGGGCAATTAGAGCAGTGGTCACCTCAGCCGCATCAGCAGTTCTGTGATACAGGACATTCAAGCATCCGGCGGGAAGACCTGCTTCCCGGAAAATGTCGCCAATCGCCCAGAAACATTTGGGAGACAGCTCCGAGCCCTTAAGGATAGTGGTATTACCGGCAGCTAGAGGAAGCGCAACGGCACGAAGTCCAAGAATGAACGGAGCGTTCCTGGCAAAAGCCAAAACGTCAATATCTATGCGAATGCGAAACCAGAAAAGCAGACTCGAGTTAGGGTATCTTACCAGGGTGCAATTCCCAAGATCACCCCATACGGCTCCTTGAAGACCATCGCACACTCACCGTCCTGAGTAACCGATGGTACCGAGCCCTCAATCGACGGGATTCTGGCCGCAAAGTCCTTGAGAAATCCAGCTCCCAATAGACACGTCTTCTCCGCGAACATCCTCCCGGCTCCCGTCTCCTCCATCTGATATTTAATCAATTCTTCAATTCTGGAGAACATGATATCGGCGGCTTTCATAAGGATGTCTCTGCGATCGTAGGGCTTCATCTTGCTCCACGCAGGGAAAGCAGCCTTCGCGGCTGCTACGGCACGGTTGGCATCGTCGACCGAGGCGGCGGCGCATTGATGCAGCACTTCGCCCGTAGCGGGTGTATGGATATCGAAAATATTCTCCGTTACGACGGACTCGTTATTGATGATTAGGGGGATAACGGCAGAATCGCCTTTAGCACCGTTTGCGACCATATTGATTGTTTACTTGGGAACGGGTATTGAACGCTGAAATGATAACAAGAGAGAAATACAGAAATTGTCGAGGAGTATCACAGGACGGAAAAGAAGGACTTGATGGAGACGAAAAAGAGACGCGTTGCGGAAGTTTGCCCTCTTGAACACGGCAGTTGAGGGTGAGGGGGAACGTCTGTCGGGAATTGTATGGAGCCGAATCTCTCCAACACCCGAGGGGGTAGCGAGCTGCTCCAATGGTAGCACGTAGGCTCGAGGTTGGTTCGGTAGTGAGGTGGGGGACAGAAACCGACACCGCTCGTCCATTCAAGACTTAAGACGGAACCAATATGATGATCATGTTGGAATTGGGAAGCTTCTTTCAACTAATGGTTCGATTCTCCATCTGTCTTCCTCCCTGTGAGGTTTAACCTGTCAGCGGGGACAGAGTAACAGAGCTTAACAGCACACACTGGAAACGAAGCATTGAGCTCATAGACACATGAGAAACCACCCTCAAAGTCCACCAGAAAAAACAATATGAAGCCGTTCACTGTTTGGTTACTAGATTCGGATGAGATCTGGGGCCTACTACTACTAAGGTAGTTACTGTAACCCTCATGCAAAGGTAGGCTAAACTATGTTTGTAATTAGTTCAGTAATAGCTTTGTCTGGATTCTGTATTATGTGGATAACTCCAGTCATTATTGCACCTGCCTTGCCAACTTTTCAACTAGTAGCATCTGAGACTTGCTTGCAGTGACATGACATGCATACTTG